TGAAAGGTAATCCAAAAAAAGTTTGACTGCTTTTGCAGCGTCTCTGCAGGGGAGTCACTGTGTGAGCTGCTATGTTGGTCTGTTGTTTTGCCCTTCAGGTCATCGCGCATGTTATGTGACTGAAAACTATGAATTGCTTGGAGAGAGAATTAACATGTTTCCCTTGTCAATGTTTGTATAAACTTAATCTATTATGTGGTTTATAATGGACTGTGGTGCAGAAGCAGTGACAATGTTTCACACTCTTTGCTTACATTTTCCACGTTATGTGTCAGTGGCCAAGTCACAGTACCATGTGGTTTTACTGAATAATTAAGTAAATTTAATTTCTTAATATATCTACCTAAAGAAACCTTATTTCTTGACAGGCTACTCTGTGCTTTCTCAGAAGAGACACCTTTTGTGCAATGTCAGCCACCGTAGCTGTCCTTCGCTCTTTGAAAGGGTAGGGGCAGTGGTAGACTGGAAGGTTGGTTGCAATTCTCAACCTTACCCCTAGATGCCACTAAATCGAACCGTTAAGATGTCTTGCAACCCTTGTTAGTATAACTACAAGGCTGCTACCACCTAGGGGATGGTTAATTATATACGGTAGTTAGTGTCACTTGACAAACCACCTTTACCCAAGTCACTGGAGTCTGCAGTCTGCTTCAGAGAAACTGTATTCATTGAGTTGTCAGTGGAAATTCCAAGATGTAGGCACCTTTTGTGTATCTTCGGGTGGGAAATGCAGACAGACACGTTTTAACAGCCTTATAAATGGAGTAGTGTTCTTGTTCTCCCTGTTCTTCTTCATGCTATTCTTGATTATTGTACTCTTCCACACACCTCTTGTCTCTCTCATTCTTTAGAGACAATCTGGAGAAGCATGGTGTGTGCATCCGGGTGCTGGGCGACTTGAATATGCTGCCACTCGACCTTCAGCAGCTTATTGCCAAAGCTGTGATCACAACCAAGGCGCACAATAAGTATGTGTTTTATTAATTTGTACCTCTGCTTCTGTGACCCTCATTATTAGTTACTTAACTTTACCTCTGAACTAGCCAAATGACAGATTTTTTACAATACAGTGTAAATGACCACAGATTTACAAATGCTTGTTTTGCAGATGTTTCCTGAATGTGTGTTTTGCCTACACGTCAAGATATGAAATTACCAATGCGGTCAGAGAAATGGCTTGGGGAGTGGAGAAGGGCTTGATCAAAGCAAGGTAAAAACAAATAAATTGGCAGTTGGTCTTGTTTTTGAAAAAGATAAGCCGAGAAGATATTGCTGTAACAAGCCGTGTTTGTGTTGTTCTGTCATGCCCAGTGATGTTTCAGAGGCGTTGCTAAGTGAGTGTTTGTACAGCTATAATTCTCCCAACCCTGACCTGCTCATCCGCACCTCTGGAGAGGTGCGCCTCAGTGATTTCCTTCTCTGGCAGGTGAGGATGACAGTGACCGCATAGGGGAATGACAGCAATTGAAGATGAGAGGCTTTAATGTGCTCCTTGAGAGATATTACTTAACACTAAACTAAGATTGGAGATAATGACTTCCAAGCTTGGTTAAGAATAATTACAGTTTTCTTTGGGGGGAAAAGGGCGCAGTAGGTGTGTTTCTGGCATTTAGACTTGTATTTCAGGTTATGTTGCTTAAAGTATTCACCCAAACAAGCTTTTAAACAAGGCTTTTAGTTTATGTAGACATTGCCCTAAATTTATCTTTGATGCCAACAAAAAATATCTATGACTCTGCTGTCTTACCTTATTAAGACAGTAATGGAATTTTTTTTATTTTATTTTTTTTATTCTTTCTTATTTTTAATTTCTCTTTAATATCAGCCACACATGTCTAGATAATAGGACTTCAAAGAAACATAAGATATCTGTTTTCACATTAGATTTTTTTGATCATTTCTCTTATGCCTGTAACAACAGTATTATCAACCAAATTAGGGGTGCAATCTGGGCTAGACAGTGTTATCCAAATAGGCAAAATCTGTAATGATTTGATAATATTATCAAACACTTTATCTTTCATTCTGCAGACATCCCACTCCTGTCTAGTGTTTCAGTCAGTTCTGTGGCCGGAGTACTCCTTCTGGAACCTGTGTGATGCCATTCTCCAATATCAATTAAATCACAAATCCATTCAGGTAAGGCTGATATTGAGACATATAAGGGCATACAGGGAGATTGGCTAAATAAAAATATCTCAGAATACAGTGGTCTTGCAGTGAGTAAAGGTTTGGAGGGGGTCTTAATGTTTGTTTTTGTTCAAAGGTATCGATTTAACTCCACTCCACATCCATTTTTGAGTGTTATAAAGAAAATTTCCTGACAGGTGATCTGTGTGTGTGACTTCAGCTTTTTTTGCCCTTTTTTGCCCTTGCCACGTTTTAAAATTTTGCATTGTTTACAAGTGATGCACCAGAAATTTAGGCAGCCAGTAATAAAGCAGACAGTAGGGTCACTCACAAAAGTATGCAATGTGGCAGGGCAAACATCAGAAAGCATGAGAACCCATTCCAAATGCAGGAAAACTGTTTTGGCAAATGGAATAACTGATCATATGTATACAGTATTCATCAATATTATTATTATTATTATTATTATTATTGATACTTAATGGGATATTTACTATATCAAAGTATTGCCTCAAAAATAAACAACTCAGACAACAGATCTCAACAAACACCAAACATTGCCAGCTTTTTCAAATAAATATTTTACTGTAGACTTATTGTATTTTAAGATGTTTATATTATTGTTTCCAACCACTGTATGTCACATTATCAGTTCTTCTGGCACAAAATGTAAATTAGGAAAATTTTATTAACACCGTTGCATGTGTGGAAAGCAGCAAAGGAAATCTTTTTTTGCTTGATAATTAAAGCAATTCCTACTTATACATTACCAATTGGAGTTTTAACGTGTGTTGTATTTTAGAAAGCGAGAGAACTTCATCGAGAACATCAGGCCTTACTGCAGCTAGAAGCGGATCGTGCCTGTGTAGCAGAGCACCTGCAGCATCATGGGAATGGAAAGCCTGCCGACGCTCAGAGAAGACAAGAGGCACTGCTGCACTACACCACCTGCCGGGAAGAACGAATTCAGGACTTCCTAGAAGCACTGAAGCAAAAGAGAGACTCTTTCTTTAATGACTTATGTAGCGAAGCTGTCTTGGCCTAGCAAAGCTCCGAAGAACAAACCTCATGTTGAAGTGGGGATGAAACCTCTCCCTGTCCTCTTCCCAAAAGGGCTTTTGTGGGGGAAAGAGTGAACAGTAACTGGGAACGGTTTCATTGTGTTACTGATTTGTATAAGATGAGAAGGCAATTTTACCCCTATGGGGCTGTAGAATAATTGATATTTATGATCGTAGATTTTAAAAAAAGTCTAATACCTGGAAATGTCTGGTCAAGATTTAGTTAAATAATTGTGTACATTGTCTGTCAAATGCATGCCATTGTTTGGAAGGGACTCTGTTTTAGAAATGTTTCTAAAACAGTCATCCAGATTAATATAATTCTGTCCAGTTTTGCGTTTTTGTTGAGGCCTGAAGAAAGTGTCGTTTTTGAGTGTGATGTTGATGACATAACTAGATTTTGACCAGCTTTCTTAAACAGAATAAAGTGATTACTGTATGTCAGATATGATTAAATGATGTGCGATTCAATCCTTGTATACTTACCTACCACATGTCAATGTCTATGACCAGTTGCCTCCATCTGGCTTGTACATGACATTGGCATTAGATACCAATATACATTGTGCAGCAGAAAAATATCACTTAAGTCCCATGTTTCTGGTGTGTAGCATATCATGGGAAACCAAATTACTGTATTTGGTTTCTGAATAGATTACTGAGGCTGTTCCAAAGCTGGAAATACACAGTTTATGTGTTACTCTTGCTGTAATAGGCAAGCAACCATGGAGTGAAACCTGTAGCACCAGTCTTTGTCTGATCATAAGCATCTACACAATCAGGTGTGTCATGAAATATAAACAGGTGGCCATTTCTTATAAAAAAATTAATTTTTAAGTTCAAACTGTAAGACATCCTCGGAGTTCTTTGAATGCCCTTCCATGGGAAATGCTAATATTTACATAAGTAATTTATACATGAGAGGCAATCTTCATATAACTGGTGTCACTCTTATACAATGGAGGAAAAGTGGCAATACCACAGTAAAAATACAAACTAACTATTAGTAACTAATAATAACTAATAGTAATAGCTTTTACTAAAATGCAAAATGGCCCCATTTAGAGTGTTAAATTTATCATGTATAAATGATTGGAATATTATTACTAATGTAAGCAGCATATTATCGTCAAGGTGGAGCTAATTTTATATACTGGATAGTTTAATCTGTCACATTGCATCACTGAATAAAACTGATCACCTGTTTTGATTGTGATGTGAAAAGTAACTAGTAACTATTTGAGAAATAAACTTAGTTTAGGGTAGTGGAATAGAAGTTCAAAGTAACATCATCAGATTGAATATTAATTAATTGAATTTTAATAATAAAATTATTATCATATTTGTTGATTTTATTTTGTATTAATAATGATTCACATTATTAAAAAGTAACTAGTAACTGAAGATATAGTGGAGTACAAACTACAATTTCAGTCTGAAATGTGGTGGAGTAGAAGTAGCCAATAAAGTGCCAAAAAATGTTAATGCTCAAGTAAAGTACAAATATCTGTACTTAGGTAAAGTACATATGTAAATATTCTTGGTTAACTCCATACAGTGTATGGTTACCTCCACCACTGAAAGAAATGGCGTTCAACTGCCCTTGCCATAGTCTAAAATGAACTGCCTTTTATCGAGAGTAACCATAATCAATCGGAATCCTTCGGTACAGCGCCCCCGTGCGGCACTGGGTAGTATTTTCCAGGCTGCTTCCTGCCGCTTTAACAAATGGGTGGTGCCTGGAATCACGTGACGTATTTGCATCCAATGACAGACATCGAAATACTAAACTGGTTCAAACCGGTTTCGTTCTTATATTTCAGTGTATAAACTACAAAAACATTCGTTTGCATTATACATTCGCCATTTTCCCCAGCAACTGGTCGGTTGTTGTCTGTAGTCTCTCCGTCAAAAAGCCCGTTTTTACGCTTATATTTTTGTGAGCGTTCTCCTCATTACCTATCAACAACATGGGCAAAACGAAGGTAAGATTTTTGTTAAATTTTATTTTTTAACTAAGTGCATTAGGGTCGTGTTGTTGACTCGAGGTTAGTCGTTGGGCTGCTTGATATTTCTGCATCAGAGGAACGTCATCATCCCCAACAAACGTTTCAGCCATGGCGGTCAGACGGGAGAGACCTGTTAAGGCATCCTCCCATTCGTCGGAAAATAAAACTTTATACAATAGATAGTAACGTAAAATATCTCCTAATCCGTTAAACACGGTTGATAACGTATATGATTATATTTGCACATCCTGCGCCAAAACCCTGGCAAGTGCAGCCGTTGAAATAGCGCTGTGCAACATTTCTGGCACGGTTTGTCTTTTCCCTCTTTGACAGGAGGTTGGAGGGAAAGCTTGACAGGGTGAACGCAACAACAAACTTTAGACACACGCTGTAGTTAAATGTTTAACATTAGCTATTGGGTTAATATGAATGCATAACTCGTGACCTAAATTAAATGTGAGAGGTTATGTAGCAATTCAAAATAAGTTTTAAGCACAACCTGCAAATTTGAGGAAGGAGTTGGGGGAGGGGTGGTGGCGATTTTTTTCCCCCCTCTCTGTTTTGAATAAGAAAAGTCCGGCTTGTTGATGCATGTTGATTCAAAAAAAACAGGCTTAACATTTAGTCATCCAGTTGGAATTTAATCAGCGATGGCCTTAAAATATTTATTAGTAGCATTAAACGTACAAATGCAGCCACTTGAAATGTTTTAACATGGCTTTTGAATTTTCTTAAAAAGACTTAATTCATTTTGCGTGTCGCAATTACACATCCTGTAACGTTAGCAGCTTGTGCTATTTTACATTACATTTTGTATTTATTTAAAGAAAATAACTTTCTTTTATGAAAACTGAAATTCTATTTAATTTTTTTTTAATCTCTGCAGGCCTGCGTTTGGCTGCATTTATTATTCGGCGGAAGCTGCAGATTAGTAAAGAAGTAATCTTATCAGTTTCCCAACAGCTGTCTGTCGGCGCGCAGGGATACAAAACAAAGGAAGCTGTCAGGGCGCCAAGGCGGTGTCATGGTGACAGAACAGCCCAAATTTGAATTCAAAAATAGGCGGGAAGATGTTCAAAAACAGTTTTAGGTCTTGTGTTTATTTTTCTGCAAGGAAAAGATTATATATGCAGAAATGGTTATACTTATAATTAAATTTAACATTGTCCTGTTATGAATTGTACGTTTAACACATTCACATTGTAATTTTGTGTTATTTTTTTCATTTGTCTTTCAGAAAACGGTCCCCCCTGAGGTTTGTAAAAAAAAAAAATATATATATATATATATACATATCACACATCTACACACTATTTTTTTTGGTTGGTTTAATGCTTCTTTTAATGTCGTTTTACTTTTATTTTTTAGTTTCAGTTTTGACAGGAAAAGCCATCCGATACCCATTATAGAACTGTGAATACTGTACTTTGTTACATTTGCAATTATAACTAAAGATTTTCTTCCTTCTACCTCTATAGAGCAGAAGAAGCTCCCAGCGGCTGGCACTGGTAAGCTTCTTACAAGTACAGTCAATCAAAAAATATATATAAAGGACTGATATTTTGCTTCATGACTATGCTTGTTCCTCATTCAAAAGTTAGTTGTTTCTTAACACCTGCTTTCTCTGGGAATTAACTTGAACCTTGAAATTGAAATCTGCATAAACCCATAATATATTTGCATTGCACATACATGCTACAGTCTCTATCAATTTATCAAAATCTCATGCTTATTTTTACGATTATTGTTTGTGATGTAAAATATAGGATTTTCCATGCTCTTCTGTTGTGAAATCTGCTGTTACATACTATTTGAAATATATTTCATCTTGTTTTGCAGAAACCTAAAGCTGCAATAGTGGAGAAGAAAAAACCTGCTGCAAAAGTATGAAATTGATTGATAACACAAGCTGAACTAAAAATAACATCGGAGTGCTCTGTCACATGTGAAACTGATTCATAGGATTCAGTTACTTAAAGGGAAATTAGATTTGCCCTAGTCCTAGGGTAACTGGGGAAACAACTTTGAGAAACAATTTAAATGTTTTAGTACACTTTTGTTGAACTTTCTGAAGAATGTGATTATTGTAAACTAGCTAGAGAGCTGTAAGCTGTTAGTAATCAAGTGTCATGTCATTTGTAGAAGGCACCCAAAGCAAAGAAGACCAAACAAGCTGAAAATGGGAACACCAAGGCTGAGGTTTGTTTTTACTACAAATCTAACATATTTATTTTTTGAAGGTGACTTGTGGTGTTTAACTAATAATTCATGTGGGCAAATTAGCACAACATTTGTTACCTATCTTTAAAGTTTCAAGGAGATAAGAACCATTATTATAAATGCGATAAGCTAACAATATTAATATGAAGGAGTTATTTCAGTATTTGTAGTCTAGTAGTAGTTCTTGCAACACAACACAGCTGATAGCCTGCCGAACTTTATTGCTTTTCTTACAGCAATTTAGCATAATTGAAGAACACACATTACTAAAATGTTTCAATTGTTTATTAAAGTTATACACATTTTCCCTAATATCTGCAAGGCTTTGTAAGAAGATATCTAGAGAGAGAGAGAGAGATTTGGATAATATGAATCTACATATGTGAACAAATTATCTTATGAACAAAAAGCCCCACTGCCAAATATTGGCTCAGGAAAATTAACACAAGATGTCTGCAAATTCTGAAAAATATTTATACATCTTGATAACATCTATGATGTTGGTAAATTGTTTTCCATTTTATTTGGTATTAAAAAGTTGCAGGCGCCCTGCAATATACTAACTGAGATGAAATTGAGGAAATCATAACATGAGGATCACAGTAGAGGGGAATATACTGTCGTACTGACAAAATAAGTAATGTATATAACATGCTGCTTTCTTATTTTGTCACCAGGAGCCAAAGGCCGAAGCCACTGAAGCCAAATGAATAACAGTTGATGTGCTCACTCTGTGTACTTGGTGATTGTACAGTTTTAAATAAGTATTTTTTACCAAGTTTTATATTACAAATGTCATTTATAGGTTTGTTTTGGGCTTGCACTTGATGTAACAAAACTTGTTGTCACATTCATATCCATTTAAAAATGATTACCGTCCATATCTTGTAGAAGTGGCATTTTTAGTTTGTCTAATTCATTTTTTTAAACTGCTGAGTAATAGATAATTTCCAACAAGTTGGAATTTAAATCTAATTTTAAACATTATAAGGCAGCTACAGCATATTGTTAAAATCTTTAGGGAGAATAGGAATTTTGCCTTTCATCTCCTTGTATTTTAATGTTGAACTAATAAAAAAAATTGCTTACCAAATGCATTGAAACACTGTATGTTGACATGAAATCTAGTCATTGAAAATGCCACAAAAAAAAAACATGTTATTAGGTCAAAGGCTTGGTACATCCCAAAAACACGTATGATGTGAACCTGGTCATCTGATGAAAAGTTATGTTAAGTTATGTTTCTGTTAGGGGGGGAAAAGGAAGCTTTTCTGACTTAAATGGTTGATCTAAATGTTCTTGATTAAAATTTTTCAAAATGTCTTGGTGTTTTCTTATTGTGATGTGAAAACGTCATCAGTGGTAGAAAAAGGTGGAAGTATCCTTGTTTTTATATAGACATAGTGACCATCACAACTGTCATCTCAAACCAACTGCAGGCTCCATCTTGGCAGAACATCCATTTTAAAATTATTGTCACCCATGGTGTGTTTTTTTTTCTTCATCACTGCTGAGGTTAGTTGCTCTAGGCTCAGCCTTTATTTTCGAGCTGCTGATGTGTTGATACTATATTTTGACAACATCCTTTTTTTTAAAAGAGGGTTTCTTCTATATTCATATAAATGTACTTGATTGGAGGTTGGTTGACTTGAAACCACATAAAAGTAGCCACATTGTAAAACAATACCTGTAAGAAGGCCCTGCATTTGAAACATGACTTTGGTAAAGCTACAGTAGTGTGAGTTAAGCAATGGATATATATGCTTGAGAACTGTCTTTAATTTACTCATTCATAAAGTAAAATGTTCGTATTGTAATTTGTTCTGGTGCTGCTTAGTAGTCAGTATAAATGCATCACATTTAATGGACTCAATCACTTATCTTCCCAATTTTTATATTCTGCATGTGCCATAATATGATATATTATATCATATTATATATCTATTTCCCTTCAAATATATATGTGAAAATTACCTGGTGTAAATATCTCAATAATTACAATTACTTGAATTAAAAGTGCTTTGTTGACTTTCCAGCTCTGGGATACCCTGAGTGTCTTTGCTCAGTTGTACCAGTAGAGGGAGGTGGCACATCATCGTAGTACTTGTCTTTATTCCAGCAGGGGGCTCCCTGTCCTTTAACAGCCTGTTAAACTTGGTCAAATATGATGCGATTTGTTTTGAAACCTCTGACTAGACTGATAGTTTGTTCATCACTTTTGTTTTATAGTGTATTGGTTTATTTATACGTCCTGTGCGCTGCCATAAAGACTTGGCAGTGACATTAATGTTTAGATATGGGTCTCTTTAAAATATAAAGTAAGCAATACAAAATTACGCATGGGTAGGTCCAGGTACTTGAATCATTTATAAGGATCTGTCAAGAAGTCCTCAAATATTTTGTAAAGATTAGGCTATTCTTGAAGCCAACAAAGGTCAAGATTGTCTGACATGGGAAATGTTACAAAAAGTCTCTTCCACAGTTCATGCATTTTTTAGTTGATACAATTTCCTTTTTATATATATTTTGGTATATTAATCTGGCAATTAATCCCCCTTTTTATGTTTAAACTGTTGTTTAATGTTTCTGTTGTACATTTGTTTTGTTAAGTTGTGACAAAACACGCACTATGTGACAAAACATGCACTATTCTTCTCTTTTTCCATTCTTGTTATACTTTGTCAACTTTGGCAACACATTGCTGTTGACAAAAACATCTCATCACGGGCTCCTGTATGTTAACCCTATAATTTTTCAAGAAGCAAAGACATTTTTGACTTATTCAAGTTCTATCAAAAACAATGATTCAAAGTTCATTCCTGATCTTAGAAACAGCAAATCAGTTTCTGCTTGAAAATGTCACATTAATCCTCCAAAGACAGGTGATAAAATCAAAAACAGATTGATGAGATGTCAGACAGCACCAAAACTAAACTTAGAACTTTTTAAATTGAAGTTCCCTACTGTAAATCAGCTTAGTGAGCATCATGTTTGTTGACTTTTTTCAATTAAGGTATAGTATTGAAATATAAGGTTAGTGGGACTATGGTCGAGAAAACAGTGTCATCAGAGGTTGATAGAATATTTGAACCATTTTATTTACTTTACTGATGCTTATATGTTGTTCCTCAAATGTAAGTCGCTTTGGATAAAAGCCAAAGTAAATGTAATGTAAATAAACCAAACAGGAAAACATCTAAATGCCATGGATAAATGATGTGCCAAGGTGACTGTAGGAACACCCTCCATTTCTGTTGGTTGGGGTCAGTGAGTTCATATGCATTCCTAAATTAGGTGAGAAAGGAAAAGCACAACACATACTGTAGAGGGAACACATGCTTTAACTAACTGTTATGTCACTCCACATGTGGTAAAGCCAGTGGGGGAGGGAGGGAAAGCATGTCAAGGTTTATAAAGGCTGAAAGGGAGCTGCAACGCAACACAACCAAGACATATAGGTCAATTCATGTGTTGAAACTGCAGGGACAATTTTAAATGTATGGGTCAAATTCATTTAGATATAGTTTACAAAAATAAACTAACCACAGGGTGCACTTAGTGATTGTTCTGGATCTTCCTCACACGTTGAGATTAAAAGAGAGCCAACGCAGAGGAGAAATCCTCCTAGTAGCACCTCTCCGCTCCAAATTTATCACATGTGGAGTGACCTAACAGTTCATTGATTTAAAGTATGTGTTGTTTCTACAGTATGTGTAGCTTCAGTGTGAAGGACACCATCCTTTCTCTCTCCGGTTAGCAATGCATATGAGGATAGGGTGTGTTCCTACTGTAAAATATACCTTTTTGTTTCAATACTATCCCTACCAAGCTGATTGACAGCAGAAACTTCATTTTAAAAAGTGGTAAGTTTAGGTAGATTAGTGCTACAACACATGTGGACAGGGGTTGCCGGAGATCAAACCCCCAACTGAGTGGAGCCCCTCTAGTTGCTAATTTAGTAATCCGTCTCTGGAGGATAAGTGTGGTATTTTCAAGTAGAAACCTGTTTTAAGCCAAGATTAAGCTAGTATCCATGGGCAAGAAGTCAAGGTGCTCAGAAAAAAAAAACATTTTGAGCATCTGTACTTCCATGACAACAGGCTAACTCCATCAAGGATGAGGATTGTATGATATGATCCATGGCAGGTTCAGAGTGGACCTGGTTTCTCTGCTATTTTACAAGGTCAAGAATGAACTGCCAATCTTAACTTCAACTCAAGTCAGTTTTATTTGTGTAGCCCAATCACAAATTTGCCTCAAGGGGCTTTTGCATTCTGCACAGCATATGACACACTCTGTTCTTAGATCCTTGGTCCGGATAAGGAAAAACTCCCAAAAAAGTCTTTGACTCAGGAAGAGGAGGGATCAGTGTGTACAGAATAGACTGACATAGTCAAATGACAGTATGGACAATCAGGATGAATAAATGGATTGTAAACATATCATTTCCTTCTTTTCTGATCACTTTTCACTTGAAAGTTGAGTTTGAAAGGAACTGTTTTTGCGCCAGCATGGATGAGAGGTCCATGTAGAAAATTTGAACATGACCGTGTCACCTGAAAGCCCCGCATCATTTGCAAAACTGACCTTTTAAGATGACAAGCTTTACAAGGTCGAGAATGAACTTTCAATCTCAACTGATGCAAATATTTCATGGCTTTATGACATTTTCCTTTGATCGCATGTGGGCAACAAACACATCTGTAGGCTACATCTGCAATTATAACCAACCTGAGTCAACTGGAGTGCGCAACATGCATTTGTAGTCCAATTGCATCTCATAATGAGCACCTACGTTTTCCACAACCGCTTTGACTGTTTATTTTAATGAATGCGTTTTTAATTATTTTATTGCCTAGGCCTATTTTTTCATTTATTTCAGGCCATATTTCCAGTGTTCACGTGACATGTAAGGGTAGTGTGTTTATGTGTTGGTACTTGACGATGTGTGAGCAACAAAAAACCTATACAACGTGACAGCGCATGAGGGTGGACGAGCTCATTCCTCCCAGCTGTAGGGATCTGTGTATTTCACATGCACACAGACATGCCTTGTGTGGCGTGGGACTCAGAGTGCCCCACCCCCTTCCATATACAACATGCCCCAGGTTCCTATAAAGTCTTTACAATATGAACACCGTGTACTAACTAACACGATACAGGCTGAACGTCCCTAAAACTGTCCTAAAACCTCCCGGTACAGCTGCAGGTAAGTAGCCTACTCAGCTTTGGTACTTTTATGGAAGATTTAATAAAGAAAGAAAGAAAGAAAGAAAGAAGAAAGAAAGAAGTTTTGCGGGGAACAAGCGTCTACAGCTGGCCAGGATTTTTAAAGTGTCTGTGTGGTAACCTATAGATATGTTGGTGTGGCTTGTTTGTTCGCTTTATTTTTTATTTAAAACCTGATCAAATATGTTTGATTATGTGATCACAAATAAAGGATATGTTAAAGCCAATGCTACTTTTTTTGGGGGGGGGGGTTAAACGTCAGATATGTTTTGTGTGGTCGCCAATAGTTTTGGTGGGTTTTTTTGTGGGAGAGATCTTTTTGGGATCGGGAAATTACAAATGTGTTGGCCCATGTAAAAGGGTTTTCACTGACAAATAATTGTATTAATGGACATTTTTAAAAAGTAAACACTTCATATTGACTGAGTTTGATTTTTGTTTATTCTGAAGCTGTCTGGGACCAAATTAAGATTAGCATTGTCCTTTTTTCTTCAATTTTCTTGAACAAGTTTTTTTGTACAGAAACTACCCTCACAGATAAAACCTGGGCATCTTTGTTTTTTAATCTGGCAGTGTTTCTGTTCATTTGCTCCCAGTACAGTGATTTAAAATGTATAGTAGGGACATTTTTCTATGTGTAATCAAATAATTGTGACAGTTGCAAGTGTGAGCTACACTTCTTTAAAAGCTTGCGGTTTGTTGGTTTTTGCACCTACAAATCCTGCAAATTTCAACACCTGACGGATTTAAAATGCTTTACCATTTGTATTCACTTTGTCTGTAGGCTACTGCTATTTTATCTTACCTTGTGGAGGGAGCCATGTGTACATGGCATATCCTCTGTACATTTTGTACCCTGGCAGTTTAAACTAGAAAACAGACTGCTCCTCCTTTTTTTATTTATTTATTTTTTTAATGGCACTTTCTTGGAAGTGCAGCCAGTTTCAATTCAGATTTTTTATCTGATGTGGATAAAGATATTTGACTCCTTTTTGAATTAGCATGAAAGTATTTCAAATGATAGGTCAGCTGTTGTCATCTGCACATCAGAGGTAGGATTGGATTTTTGGGTCACTTTCCACCTTCATTAGATTCACACGTCATCTTAGCGGATGGCCTTTTAACAATAAGTCGTCAGACAGTGTAGCTTAATGCTAATTAATTAAGTTTGATATCTGGCTCATTTCCTCCTTCTTTACCTGTTACAGCCATGTTGACACCTTCACAGCTTGGGCCCAAAATGGATGCCGTGTCTTGTGTTTCACTGTCATGTTCATATTGAGTCTGTGAGCCGCTAATGGGGGTGTGGGTGGGTTATTTGCCCTCACTGGACACCAAATACTTCTATCTGCTTGTTCCAGCCACTGAAGCTTGTAATAAGTGATCTTCAAACCCAAGGCTTTTTAACATTGCTGCGACGTTATGGAAACAGGTCTTGCACATTATTTTTAGTGCTGAAAGGATTAGTTAATAATAAAAGTTAGTTAGTTAGTCAATGTGAAGGATGCCCAGACACAGATGGCGCCATTGCATGACTAGACAGGCTAGTCAGGTTGATGTGATGTTTTACTTTAGTCGATAGCTCTGCAGCAGCTATTGATGCTGCTGTCTTTCACACAGCTTTTGTCCATGCTGACTCACAGGGGATCCCCCTGCTGTAGGCAGATGGGCTGCAGACAGGAGAAAAAAGTGACATGAGAAGGCGGGACCAAGAAAGCTGATATTTCATTGGCTGTTTGCAGTTAAGTACACAGTGTACCCAGTAAATATTTTGGGCTGCACGGGTGGTTCTTAATGCAGACTGGCATACTAAACAATCTCCATGGGAGAGATGAAGTTAATTGATTCAGGACTCCCACCCCCCTTTCTGTTCAAAGCTTTTCCTGATGGAAAAGCAGTGCTCGCTTGTATGAGACAGGTGAGATAAGTAGGAAGTAGTTTTGCCAAAAAGCAAACGTCGGTCCTAGATGTCAGAGTGTACAGTCCCATCTTGTTTTGATTCAGAAATACATGTATAATAGAAAAGCTGGGTACTTTAAAACAATGTATTTATTTATTTTACCTGTGATGCCCAACATGGTTGAATGGTAAATGAAGAAAGGCAATCACAGAAAATCCAAAGTAAATTGTACCGTTTACAAATCCAGCAATTTAGTAGACCTGTTGCACATCCAAAATTGAAGCAGCAGAGGCCAAGATATATTGACCTTTTAGTCTCAAGTATGGGTCTAGCTCCAAAAGTACTGGAATCTACAACTCCCACACCTCTAGTTTTTAACAGTATGTCTGTTTAAAACTTTAATTCTTAAGCCTCAGTTATTTTTTTAAACTTAATACCTGTGTAAGCACACCCATTTAAACCATCTACAGTATCGAGCTACCTAATTATTTTTCTTTTCTATCTATTCAAGGCGTAAAAAGTCTGAAGCTTGTATTTGTTAGGTGAACATACAGTTAGACATTTGGTTTACAGAAGTAAACCAAATGTCTAACTGACAGCAACTCGTACATTACACAGCAGCCAATTTTCAATTTTAACATAAAAGAGATAAAAGCGCTTATGTGGATGAAGCAACACCATTCCCAGAGCTGCTCCTGTCATATGGCAACTTGGTTGGCAACGAGCACACATTACATTATGTTCTAAAGGTTTCTGGCAGTGTGGCACATTAGGTATCCAACCTAATACTCATTATTCATGACTTGAAAATGTTTTTTAAGAATTTGGGTAAGTCCTATTTTCTGGGCCTCCACAAATGCAGGTGAAATCTTTGACACACAATCATCTTTACTTGTAGTCAGATTATTGTGTCCCCTGTAGACTTGCTTGGAGTTACAAAGATTTGATGCAGATTCCAATTTTTTTGTAGGGTTTGTTCAACCAATCTCTTCACTGTCAGAAGCGCAGATATCCTGTTATGACCTTGTTTGATGCTGTGTTTCGGTTGCAGTACTCAAACAAAGCATAAGGCCCAGTGGATTTTAGTCAAAACTCTGAAAATTCGCATTGCATGATGTAAACATTGGCCTGGAGAGTAACTGCATTTGCTCAGTGAAATGGAAACCTATTATGTAACGCAGACAGCCACTGACTAGATCAAATAAAACTTGCAACTAAAACAAATATGTTTATAAAAGAGGAACTTATTGTGCCATGTTTCTAATCTGTAGGTTTGTCAGGTTCTTGATGGACAGTCCAGTTTGAGATTAAATGGACACATCAAGCTGGTTATATAACTCTACACTTTAACATGCATACTGCTTTAAGAAGTCATTGTCATGCTCTGTTCTTTTATATTTTCCTATTTACCTTGAGCTGCAAATCATCTGACAGTTCACAAAGGGTTTTTGTTGTTGGGAAGGGGTGTGTTTTGGGAGAGAGTCCTGCAGTTGATAGTAATGCATTTTGACAGCGGTGTGTATGTGTTCATGAGTGGGCGTGTGTCATAGGAGAGCTTACAGATCTGGTTGGGTGAGAGCGGGGCTGTATAAAAAGGCGGAGCAGCACTGAAGCGCTCAGTCGTTAAAGTTGATCACTGTGTTTTGGCATCTGTTTTTTTTCATTTTCAGTGTGGCTGGGAAGTATAGAGTCGCACTGCTCAGTGTCAGGCTTGTGTTTTGTTGTTTTTTTTGCCATCCGATGGCCTCTGGGAAGTGAGGAATTTGAGCAATTTGTTGGTTTTCACGAATAAGGCAGGCTTTGAGCCACTTTGAAAGCTTGGATTAATTTTTTTTTTTTTTTTCTTGTAAGGGGGTGTAACTCCAACCAGGTTGGCACATTAATGCTTCACATATGTTTTACCTGCGCCACAATCCTCTTCCTCATCTTCCCTGGAACCTCGATCACAAACACAGTGGTCAAACCCAGCAGAAAGTGACTTCCCTGGTGGTGGTGGTGGTTGTTTTATGAAGCTAACACCTTGGGGTGTGATGCACAATCTCTTCTTCTTCATCTTGTCTTTTTGTAGGATGCCTTTTTAGATTACCTTTTTTCCCCACCCTTGCATCAGTAAAAATGACATTAGATCTCAGCTTGTCTCTGTCGGGTACTTTTTGTTCTTAAATTGCAGTTAGACGGACCTCCATCCTTCCATATGCCTTTTAAAAAAATCTTTGGTGCACTCAATTAGTGTCCAACAGTGATGTAAAACGCCACTTTCATAATCAGTTACAAATGGGATTGACCATGTAAATGAATGAAATTTGATCTTTTTTTCTTTGCTGCATCAGTTTGTGACGCAGCATGAATAGAGGCTCTGTTGCTTTGGTCAAGGCGTTTGGTTCTAACAGGAGAATTTAATAACGGAAGGGGTTAGGGGCACTCTCAGTAGAAATGATGCCAAGTAGGTCAGATCAAAAATAATTCTAGATGACCTGGGCACAAGGTTGGGTTACTCTGCATGGCGTTCCTATTGGATCTGCAGTCTAGGATAAGCACATAGAAGTTGTGCGCCATGGCTGCATGTGAGAGATGTTCTTCCTCATGTATTGTTCAGATGGTTTTGGTTTATTAGCAAGCCAGTTCTCCTTCTCATTGGGCAGCAATACTTCTCAAAACCTCATGGAAAGTTGATTTTTATTTGGTCTTCTATAAATGTTGAGTAATGCCTGGGTGTGTCTCCCTCAAAGCATCACTAGGAATACTAGATTTACTTGTTTCTTTATTGACGTAATATGTATGTTTTATAGACGCAACTCATGGCCATTTCTAGTGGGTATTTTAGTTTTCCAACTGTATTTCGACGTTGGTAACTTTATCATTGGTTCGCGTTTTTCTGTCTGATTGTTGCGCAGTCGCTTAGCTAATTCTGTATTCTCTGCAGGTCTTCAGGGCCACTCTAGCTCTTCCCTCCGATTCTACCTCACACCACAGAGGCAGACATGATCATCAGACTGGGCAGGCTGACACCCGGATACTTCCGCCTCCTCCAGGTATTTGCAGCTTCATCCATAGTGTACAAATGAACACTGAACTCCTTAAACAAAATTGTAATTTTTCTTCGGTCAACATGTCCATCAGTTTGTTTTTATCCTTTTAGCTTATATAGGCATTAACACTGGTTCTAATCTGAACCGCTTTCATGCGAGGGGCCCAGGGCTGTTCTCTGACCCACAATCCGCTTTCATCACCATTGTAATTAGGGGTGACACTAATCATTGCGATATCATTTGCTCTGTTTCTTTTGTTCTTCCCCTCTGTCATTATAATCCATTCATCAGTAGTGACCCTCCATATGTCTCGACTATTGTGTAAAGTCTAGGTCGCATTTCCACTAATTTGGAAACAAAAGTCGCCCCTATATGGCTTTACACTGATTCAAAAGCTTAACCAACCGAAGAAAAGTGACTGGCATCATATAAGATTTGACACATTGGCACAACAGCACTTTTTTTGTTGTTAATGCTGACAGGTAGCTCTTTGGTTTGAATAGACAAAGATTTCAACATGCAGCTTGACTGTGTGTTGTTGTACATCTGTGTTTCACATTTTGTCAAGTAATATTTCCTGGAAACTTCAAGGAGTTGGCATGGACCAAAGAGATAAATGTTTGCTATAAAAAAGTCTGATAATGTTAAAGAATTTATAATGTATGAATAGGTTGTCTGCAAATGTTTCCTTGTAGACAATCTGAAGAAGAAATAATAATAATTTTAAAAATGTTTAAAAAATGCCTATTAATGATCTGCAAACCTACCACTGGCTCTGAAAACATCCCACTGTTGGTGTCTAATGTACACAGTTATTCTATACAACACAAACTGGTTATGGGTGCACATTATTGTCTGCTTTGTGCCTAGAACATTGTGTTCCCCTTTTGCTAAAGTCTCTCCCCCTTCCTAAATGTCTTAATAACTGTTCTGGCCAAAGGTTTGGTCATATGGTAGAACTAAAGTTGCAGATGTTAAATCTTTTAAAGGCTAAGTTTGGTATTTTTCAAGCTTGACCCCGTTTTCCCATGTTTTTGTGACTAATGGGGACAACATTTATTAAAGTTGGTCCAGTATTGAGCGAGCGCGCTGCAGCTGGCAGCAGTGAAACAGGGTTGCAACGTAACTGTGCCCTGTCAATGTACAGGCCAAAAACAAGAACTTTAATGGATGACGCAAAAACCTGAAAAATACGTCCAGGTTGCAAAAGATCAAACTTACCCTTGAAGGAAGAAGCCTCTAAGGACAAAATATTTAGTCATTGTTTGCTATTTTTTATTTTTACAAGTCGGACTTTAAAATCCTTGTTGACAAGAAACATGTTTTGAATGGCTCATTGTTTCCACTGTTGGTTGACGTTTGACTTTTTTTTTTTTTTTTTGTCTCTGCAGAGGCAAGTTGCCGGTGAGGTGCAGACGCAACCACAAGACCGTACCGTCAACCAGATAGCCATGATGCTGGCCATCATGGGCCTGAGTTTGTCCTACTACAGTGCCAAACAGATGACAGAGAAGGTCCAGGCCCCGCCTGCACCCTGAAGAAAGTTGACTACTCTGATCATGGAGATAATGGATGAACCAATGAGAAATGAAGGAGGTGGAGCAAGAAGGCAGACGCAGGGCCGCACTTTTCTCACCACAGTCACACTAGACACTGGATTTCTGTGATCCCTCCCTCACCATGCCCGGAGGTTTCAGGGCTGCTGCAAAGTGTTTACTATACTTTCTGTTGTCTGGACCTTGAGTGTCTTGTGGGGATCACTTACTTGGGGTCATGGATAGGATTGGTTTTATGAGCTGGTTTGGGTGGGCGATCAAAACTAGCCGTCTGCCAACTGGGTCTTACCGTTAGTTGTTACAAAGGTACATGCTTGCAAGATGCTGTCAATACTGTTCTGAGCTACTGGGGTGAGGAGCTCTAAACTGTGAAATTTGCTATTGCAGAAAATAGTATTAAATAACATGAACAGTAATACCCCTTTTAAGGGAATGCTGACTGCAATTTGAGATGTGCCTTGTAACAAAGTGATGGCAGGCCCAAAACATGGGGATGAAAAGTTAGCTCAACCCTTTTCTGTATTTGTCTTTTTTTCTCCTTCATGAGAGAACCTTGCAGAGCCTTGTGAACAGATCGGGAGCCGTATTCACAAACTGTCAATATATACACTTGTGAAATGTATCTGTCAGCCATTCAGTGAATATTTGCACAAAAGAGCAGAGATACTACAAAGGGACTTAAAACAAAAAAAATAATGGCTATTTTCTGTGATTTGACACTGTTTTAATATTAATCAATGTCCTGTAATAAGATGTGACTAACTTGATAAGCATCTTGGTTAAGAACCTTTCCTGCAGTATCTACTACGTGTTAATGCAAACATTTCACCAAACATTGCATGAGTGTGCAGACTTTTAATCAAAGCAAAATCATGTTTTTATTGATGAATGTATTTTTGTAATGATTTAATAAAGCTGTGAATATTAAATGAGATATACAGTGGATGTTTAGTCATATTGTTAAACTTTAAAAGATGACTCCAAGTCAAAAACTCTGGTTTTAATTTGTGGAGAAACTTTCTTGAGCAGAGTTTGAAGAATAGTTCCTTAGTTGGCACTGGAAGCTGCAGAGCTACAGTGTTTCCTGTATCAGAGAATCTGTTGTCTCATCTGCATGCAATAGGAAGTGGTCAGGCTGAGGCACACGTTATGGTTCTTGAGAGTGAGGCAGTGTTTTATTTGTTTTTTTTTGTTTTTTTCTACACTAGTGTACCCTCTGCACACGCAAACCCAAATTTATAGTGAATTTGCAAGATGTAGTTGTGGAAGGATGGCTTTGCTTGAATGTCAGAGTAGGGAGCCCATGCAAAAAAGGCATTTGACCTTTTCTTATGGCAATAGGTATTTGATTTTATTTAACATTAAAGTGTAAGGCTGCTAGAGTCTTTTACTTCTTAGTTCCTTAGCAGACCTTAAATGTCAAGTTTTCTGTAAACATGTTGTCTTCTATACTGGAGCTTAGATTATAGATTCTGTGTGCTTTGAGGAAAACCCTTGGATGGAAGCTGTGTTCAAAGGGATCGTTGATGACAAATGTTCCACATAAAAGATCTTTAAGCAAATAATGAGATGAGGATGACTCAAGCAAAACGGATGTTAGAAGAGCTCAGGGGTCGGTTGGCTAGCTAGATAACATGCCTTAATGTGATTTATGGCATGTGAAGGAACAAAAACGTAGTTCTTGCGAAGAGTTGATTATTAAGTGGCAGCCATTTTCCTCAGAATATTCTTGGAGCATTCTTCATGTTTTATAGATATGTATTTCTTCAGTAACATTGGGTACACTATTAGGTGTGAGAGAACTTCATGTTTGCCAGCCAAAACTGATTCCCTGATGTTTGCACACTTGATTCCCATCTTCTTCTGCTGCAGATACTGGTTTGAGGCAGATTGGGGACTGCCTTTCTGCACGTTCTGCCTTTCTTTTGCAGGGCGTGGAGTTTAGAAAGTGCGCATGCCTGCTCACTGTCTGATGCGATGCCCTGTGACAGGCTGAGACCTCGTTGGGCGCCACGTGCCCCGTTGCCTTCGCCACAAGCTCCTCCCCATCGCCCTTCCCATCCCGTCCCCCTCGCACATCACTGGGCAAAAATCTCACTTTGCCGTCTCAGTGATGCTAAGCCAAGAACATAACCCTTAACGAAGGGCGCCCATTGGCTAACCGGTGATGCGTCACCAAAATCAGCCTGGTTGTGAGCCCCAGAAACAAAAGGATGGGGATAAGGTCATTGGTGGGGAATGTGGGTGAGATGATTATTATTTTGGACATCTCCATTCCCTTTCTATTAGTTTTAACATCTAATCAATTCCCACAGAGGGGCATGATATTACATTCAGAGAGAGAGAAATGAGTAAAGTTCTGTAGATGAGATGGGTTTCTTTAAAGAAATATATATATATATTCAGGAATGGGTGGAATTTGGAGCTGCAGGTGTGAACAAGAGATACAAACAAGACTGAGGCTCATTCTCTGACTCTCTGACTGTCACCTTTAATTTTCCAATCACTGAGTTCACAACAAGAGCAATTATAAGATATCTGCAAACTTGTGTGTGCATGAAAAATATTTATGGCATTGGGAGAAATATGATCTTATTCTGGACAGGTTTTATAATAACAAAAAATGTTGTTTTGGACATTTGAACTGATTTAAAAACTCCATTAGAAGCATACTTGCATATTTCATGGGCTGTACAACTTATGAAGTAGCTGTATGTAACCCTTTTCATGCAGGGGGTGTAGTGTTTGAGCCTCATAAGGCATTCCCTCCCACCTGTGAACATGTTTTGCTGCTGTCTTGTATTCAATAAAGACTTAAACATATCATATTTTCTTTGTGTATTTTTATGAACTATTATCTTGACATGAGCATACTGCTGAAAATTCACAAATTAGTTCAGTCATCCTCCAGAAATGTCTTAAACACACAAAATGTACAAGCACCAGCAGATCACAGTCCTGTTCATGTGCACAGACCACATCAGGTCACGTCTTAGGATGCCTGGCAGAGTCACACTGAGGAGACGGCAGCGTGCACGTGCCCATGGCTGGAGCATGTGCTGAATGGAGGTTCACTCTGTGGTGGCCTCTGCCTGGGGAGCTGCTGTTGTGACTGGCGTCCAACGTGCAGACTGCAGAGAACACAATGTCTCTCAGATCCCAGACATCCCTGCCCTGCAGCACAATCAGCAGCATCTGCCTTTATTTGCTGCATCAAAGCCTCCAATCTGCTATATAAGTTATACTATATATGTTAGCCTGACAATTGAAGAGCGGTAGTTTATAGGTTTGATAGCTTACAGCTTGTTGCACTTCTATATCTCAGCCCTTTAACCTGCCATGTCAATGATGTAGGACGGCCTGTTCTTTCTCCTAATCTCAGATTTTTTTTTCTATCTCCCAATGGCTCCCCTTTCATTAGGATTTACTGAAAAGCGGCTTATCTCTCGACTGGGAGGCTGTTTATTTCTTTATTTATGGGCTCAAATGTTTTCCCCCCAAAGGTTTGGTGAGTGTTTTGCTTTGTGACTGTTGCTAGTTGACATCATTCTTTCAGGGCTAACAGAAAAAGTGTGGGATGATATAAATCATCAATTATTTTTTTAACATGTTTTAAACTTTGACTGCTTGTCTCTTAGATAGAATGTTAACTATTGTAACAAACAGTTTAATGTAAGAACAATGTAGAATCAGTTATTTTATGAATATTCTCAAAATAATGTATTGCCACTCCAGACATAAACAAAATTACACAATTAAAATGCATTTTAGTTTAGCAACAAGTTAATCTGAAATGGTGAACATCAACATTGTGAGCATGTTAGCATGCTGACATTAGCGTTAAGCTGAAAGTAGTTTAATGTCAAGTCTTACAACAATTCCTGCTCTGTCGCACAACCTAAAACCGCCTTTGGTTCATCTTTCTGCGTGCCATGAGGAAACACATAAGGGAATTATTTGCAGAACCTGTTGCAAAATGGAAATCAGTGGAGGAGGAAGCAGTAACTTGGTAAACCACAACTATTGGTTATTGTCATGCAAGTTAGTGCCTGCATTGTCATGAAAAAATATGATGCAAGACTCTAGGCTGTCCATACTACATTTCATTTCAGGGCAGATGTTGAGTGTTTTGACTGCTAGATTGTATGGGAGCATCATTTTGTCTCAAATTTTGTCTTGAAATGTGCTTTTTATTTAACAATAAGTTAACAAACTTGTTGATTGGGTACAGTAGTTTCAGTTCTTTCCAGTGTAATTCAGCTATCTGAAGAAATCACCTTCAGCTGTTAAAAATAGTAAACCCCCAACAAGTGGTATAGTGGTGGAACAACAGTCACCAGTCTACATAATTTTACATAAAAGATTAAAAGTGATCTCAGTATATTTCCTGCATTCATTTATTTCTTTTTAAAATCACTCAATCTGAGTTCAGACCATTGTTTTTGCAAATCATCCTGAGAATGTTGTTTCAACACCTCACATGATTTTGCTGAGCAGCTGTATGAGAGGAGCAGGGGCAGAGAGCTGCGGATTTCCTGTCTATATTGATGGGGAATGTTTGTGAGAATAGCAGCGGCTGTGGGAGCCAGAGCTGGAAATAGGCAGTGGTTTTGGAATAACAGAGTCTCTGTCCTTCAGTTTTTTGCCTATTTTCACTGTTACTGTAGAGTTACTTCAAGATTCATGCCTCGGTCTGTTTGAGAGCTTCAAGTGTTGACATTCATTGATTCTGTTGGTCTCCTCTTTTTTAATCTCTGTTCAGTTTTGTCTCTTCTTTGCATTTTACTTTACGTCCCCAGTATTCACACACACCTTTGCCTCTTCTTCCACTGCAGTGCAGTAATCACTACTTTGCTCAGTTAGAAGATATCTGACCTAAACATTTTTGAACGAAGCACCACCTTGTTGGGAATAGATCACCTTTCCCAGCTAAATGTCATTGTCAGGCCTTGACATATCTAACTCCATGGGTTTGCCTGTGGGCCAGGTGGCCTACTTTACAGCAGTAAACAGGATCTTAAATAAGTTGTGACTTGACACAGTACTCACGTACACTCACCTATACAGGTATACTGTTTTCCCACCCTGTAACTGGTGACCGGTGACACAGTCTTCACTCATTCAAGCCAACCTGACTAATAAATTTTTCTCAGGTCAAAACTAGACCTAACTGAAATACCTTTAATCTTATCACTAGGCTAGCACATATAATTTAGATATAATAGCTAAGATATACTTTGATTGCTCCTGCAAGTTATCTTCTCAGATATTATTGTCCCGATATTCAATTAAATGTTATTACCTCATGTAGCATAGGACATCTGTTACAAGCTGTCAAAAACAAGAAACATTTGCAGTTACCTTAATTGCAAATTCAAAAACAAGCTGTAAATTGGCTTACGTTAAACAAATGTCTTGCTACGTATGTTGCTGGTGTCCACATGAAATGTACTCTCTCTATCTACACCCCTTTCCTATTTGCTTTTCCACTGCTGTCAATGCTGTATGTAAAACTCGTCTGGCACCTGATAATGTTTCACTTAACACCAGAAGCTGTTCCAGAGCTCCACACCCCAGACTGCTTTAGAGAGAATGCAGAGCTCAATGATACTTTTGATCCTCTCATCTCATCCATCCGTCCCCCTGAATGCATCCATCTAATCTTCCCTTGGCAGCATCCCTTTCTGTTCTCCACTGATACAAATCAGGACGGTGCAGGTTAATTTTGGAGGGAACATTTGAAGACAGGTGTGGATGGATATCTGAGAGACTGTTTTGCAAGAGAGGCTGCTGAGGCACGTGGTGCTTCATATGGATGCTGATCGTAAACAGGTCCAGTTGGAACCGGCAGGACTTTGAGCACCAGAAAAAAAAAAGCCAGGCTTGTAAATGTTGTTCTAGCCAAAGTGGCTCCTAGTTGGTCAAAACAATTGTCATTTAACT